AAAAAAAAAAAAAGTTCAGATCTGGCCACAGCAAGTACTTAGTGGATGGTCACTATTATCAATATTTCGAATTCTGTGTCCTGGGATACAGGCTGGAGGAGGGATGAGGGAGGCAGTTTCCCCCACACCACTCCAGGCCAGGCTTTATCTGTGTCAAGGGTACTTTCCCAGTTCCAAGCCTTTTCTTCTGCCTGGGACACCCTCCTTCCCACTGTTCTAAGTCCTGTCTGCCAATATCCACTCAATGTGACCTCCTGGGAGGCTCTTCCTGATGCTCCCACCAGCACTGGCCAATGCAAACTTACCTAGAACTATAGTGGTGATGGATTAACAACCCTGGGAATACACAAAAGCCCACTGAACTGTACAATATAAATGGGTAAGTTGTATAGCTCAATAAAGCTGTTACCCCAGACAAAAAGGATGCGCCATACTTACCCCGAATTTACTAAATCCTCAGGGTATGTTAATATGCCAATCTTGACTATACCAAAGAGAATAATGACAGTAACCATTTACTGAACTCTTGCATGCTAGAACCTGCTAAGCATTTTCTGTTTATTTTTTGCATTTAATTCTGACACATCCCAGTGCAGGAGACACGAATCATTATTCCTATTTTATAGATGGGGAAACAGAGGCTGAAGAAGGTTAGAAGGGAGCTGATGGTTCTCTCCACACCCCACCCCTGCACGCAAAAGGCCGCTCTGTAAGCTCCTCACATTTGGCAAGGGTGTGAGGCTACTACACCCGCAAAACCAAGTGGCTGGGGGTGCTGACTCAGCAGAGCGGCGCCCCCGCACCCCTACCCCACGCCCGGTCCGGCCCCTTCGCTGTCAAGCCGGTCAACCCCGTCTCCCTCAGGTGCCTCGGTCTCCCCCGGGACTGAAAAAAGTGGCTGGAGCAAGGCCCACAAGGGCGAGTGTCCCCGAAGCTGCCTCAGTTTCCCCATCTGTAAAACAGGGCTGGTGACCCGCAGCTGTCACGGGGCTCGCGGGTGCTCGCCCTGCATCCGAGCCAGCACCTACAACTCCGGACCCACTCGAGGCGCAATGGGGTGGATTCTTTGGTCCCTTCCAAGACCCCATCCCAGTTCCCCTTCACGGGAGGGCAGCCCTGAAAAAGCAAGGTTGCTCTAGCAGCCCCCTCGGGTCACCTGCTTCCCCGAAGCCGTCATCCTCGCCTTCCGCTCCCGCCTCCACCGGCATCCCCAGGTCCCCGTTGGGGCCCGACATTGCGGGCTCGGGTGCCCGAAGGGCCGCGCGACGATGGAACGCGGCGACCGTCGTGCCGAAAGCCGGCGCCGGATGGAAGGTGGAGGCGGTGGATAGAACACCGGGCCGGAAGGGTGGAACGCGGCAGCGGATCTCCGCCCAGGGGCCAGGGCCCCGCCCTGAAGCCGGAGTCCCGCAGCTCCGGCTCCGCCCCGCCCCGCCCCCAGCCGGAACTCCGCCCCCGCCCCGTGGTTGTGGCCGCGCCCACCACCAGACTCCACCCCCACCGCCGGAGCCCCGCGTCTACCTGCCTCAAGTCGAACTCCGCCCACTCCGCCTCCGGCCCCGCCCCTCTCCTGGGCGGTGGGCGGGCCACCCCGGGGCTGTCCCTGTAAAAGCCCAGGAGTGGGGAGGTCCTGGAGGAGGAACGGAAGATCCCCAAGCCCATCTGCTGCTTCAGCCCCTCCGCGTGGGCAAAATCGCAAGCGGGCTTTCCTTGTTATTTTTTGAGATAGGGTCTGGCTCTGTCTTCCAGGCTGGAATGCAGTGGGGTGATCTCGGCTCACTGCAACCTCTGCCTCCCAGCCTCAAGCGATCCTCCCTCAGCCTTCCGAGTAGCCGGGACTACAGGCGGGTGCACCACCCAGACTATTGTATTTTTTGGAGACAGGGGTTTCGCCATGTTGCCCAGGCTGGTCTCGAGCTCCTGAGCTGTAGCCGTCTACCCCCCTCGGCCTCCCAAAGTGCTGGGATTACAAGTGTAAGCCACCCGGCCCAGCCTTGGAAACGGGGTTTCCAAGCCTCCTGTGGATTCTGGAAATTCCACTAAGTCAGGAAGAGTCTCTCTCCTCGCCTCTCTGCCTGCGCCCCGGTGGAGACGACCAAACACCCCTACCCCAGGATTTGGGCCTTTCTGGTCTTCAACACTTCTCTTAGGGCTCGTGGGTTACAACCTGTGGGTGGGAATCAGCCTGGACTCCAGCTCTGGACGAGAGAAACAGGAACATTAGCTGGGCAGGGTGGCTCCCGCCTGTAATCCCAGCGCTTTGGGAGGCCAAGGTGGGAGGATTGCTTAAGCCTAGGAGTTGGAGAACAGCCTGGGAAACATAATGAGTCACCTGACCCCCAGCCCCCACCCATTCAGCCCCCATCTCTACAGAAAGTACAAAAAAAATTAGTCAGACCTGGTGGCATGCACCTTAGTTGCAGCTGCTTGGGAGGCTAAGGCAGGAGGATCACTTGGGCACAAGAATTCAAGGCTGCAGTGAGCTATGACTACGCCACTGCACTCCAGCCTGAGCAACACAGTGAGACCCTCTCTTTAAAAATAATAATAAATTAATTAAAAAGAAAACTTTTGGCTGGGCGTGGTGGCTCACACCTGTAATCCAAGCACTTTGGGGTCCAAGGCAGGCAGATCACCTGAGGTTGGGAGTTCAAGACCAGCCTGACCAACATGGTGAAACCTCGTCTTTAAAAAAGAAACAAACAAACAAAATAAATTAAAAAAGGAAAGAAAAAAAAAAAGAAAACGTTTAATTAGGCATGGTGATGCATGCCTGTAGTCCCAGCTACTTGGGAGGCTGAGGCAGGAGAATCACTTGAACTGGAGGCAGAAGTTGCAATGAGCAGAGATCATGCCACTGCACTGCACCCTGGATGACAGAGCGAGACTTCATCTCAAAAAAATAACAACAACAACAACAAAATAAACGTTTGGCCTGGAGCAGACCTACCTTTTTTTGAGATGGAGTCTCGCAATGTTGCCTGGGTGGAGTGCAATGGCACGATCTCGGCTCACTGCAACCTCCGCCTCCTGTGTTCAAGCGATTCTTCTGCCTCAGCCTCCCGAGTAGCTGGGATTACAGGTGCATGCCATCATGCCCTGCTAATTTTTGTATTTTTAGTAGAGATGAAGTTTCCCCATATTGGCCAGTCTGGTCTTGAACTCCTGACCTCAGGTGATCTGCCCACCTTGGCCTCCAAAAGTGCTGGGGTTACAGGCGTGAACCACCCCGCCTAGCCAAATTTAATTTTTTTTTTTTTTTAATAAAGAGAAGTAGGAATAGTTCATTTTAGGGAGAGCCCCTCAACTAGGACAGGAGTGAGGCTGCCCTTAGTTCAAGCTCTCCTCAAACCCAGCCAGGACTGTGTCACAGTCTCAATAAAGGAAAGGTTTGCTGCCCCCCGCGTGGGGACTGTAGTGGAGGGTGGAGGTCCGTGGACAGAATGCTTCTTGGACTGCTCATCAAGGAAGGCTTCATGATAATCAGCCCAGCTACTACTGTCATCCCACTTCCTGCTTCCCAGCTAGGAGACAGCGGCTACCCATAGTCACCCAGTCAGCAAATGTCACCTCTGGGTTGAATCCAGAGCTATGATCCTGCCCAGGGGTCCAGCTGAGAATCAGGTCCACGTTCCGGGGACCTGATTACCAGGAATCTAAGCTCTGTCATGCCCACATAAGGGCTGCTGGAGGGCGCCTCGGCTGTGCGGCAGCGCCAGTGCTGTGAAAGCGCCTGCTGTTTAGCTGGCTAGGGAAGGAACTGTCCAAAATGGCCGAGACATCTCCTTCCTGGGGAAGTTAGGAGAAAACTCCGCTTCTCCAAGCTCTTGTGGCAAGGCCTGACCACTGTCAGGTAGGCCCGAAGACATGCGGGGGCTTAACTGTCTGTATGTGATGCTGTGCTTCAGTGGTCATGTTCCATGTCTACTCTTATGTTCTACTTCTGCACCTGGTTCCTTTTGTCTTAGAGAATATAATCAGTAATAGTAATATAAATGTTAATATTTTAGTTCTTTCTTGATAAGTGTGGGAAAGGCGCTGATGCATTATGCTCCTTACCTCACTTCGGGTGCCAGAAATTCCTAAGCCCCTACGTGAATGACACGTGATGTACTTGACCCTATCACTGCCATGTCCTATCTACCCTGCCCCCAGTCACCGACCACCAAGGCCACACCCTACCTACCCTGCCCCCAGATTTGCAACTCGGCATTCGGGGCCACTGCTGGTCTCCAAGATTTGGGTAGCAGTGGACCCCTGGGCCCAAACTCTCTTTTCTCTATCTCTGTGTCTTGTGTCTTTTATTTCTATAATTTCTCATCTCCGCACCAGCCGGGAGCGGCTCACAGAACCCTGTAGGGCTGGACCCTACATTTTTGTAGAGACAGGGTTTCGCCATCTTGCCCAGGCTGGTCTCAAACTCCTGAACTCAAGTGATCCTCCTACCTCGGCCTCCCCAAATGCTCAGATTATAGGTGTGAGCCATGGCGCCCAGCCTAGCCTACCCTCCTTGACTGAGAGTGAAGCCCTCAGCAGAGAAAGATTTGCTGATGCTCTACTGCCTTTGAAGGAGGAAGGAGCCACAGGCTAAGGGGTGCAAGGAAGACAGCGTGAGAAGCTGGGAAAGGTGGGGAGCAGCTTCCCCAAGAGCCTCTGGAGGGAGCACAGCCCTGTGAACACTCATTTCCACCCAGTGAAACTGATTTCAAACTTCTGACCTCCAGAACTGTAAGCAAACATATGGGTGTTGTTCTAAACCCACAGTTTGTGGTGATTTGTGATAGTGACATAGGATTTTTCTTGGTCATTCTGCCAGCCAGACTCCCGGCCAGTGATTCCCCTGTCTAGGCAGATGTCAGCCCCATTGCCTGCTCTGTCCTGTAGCTCCGGAGCTAGCTCAGCCCCACCACTGTTGTAGCTTTCTTTGTAGCCTCACTTGGTGAGTCCCAAGCTCTTGTCCCAAGTCCAAGAAGAATGAGGATATGCTGACAATCAAAGGTTAAGGTGGACAGAGAATTTTTTTCTTTTTTCTTTTCTTTTCAAGCTTCCATGACTTGTAGACAGAGAATATTTTGTTGAGTGATGGAACAGCTCTCAGCAAAGAGGGTACATGACAGTGGTCCTTCACCCCAAACTGGGCAGTGGGTCCAGGGCTTTAATGGACTCAGAATGGGGAGTGCATGCTGATTGGCTTGTGAGTATGCAATAAAGGTTAAAACAAAGGCACCACTCAAAGCTGGGCATGACAGTGTAAAAAACCAATTAGGGAATGGTAGGTATATGTAAAATAGGTGAAGGGTGGGGATCAATCAGGGGAAAGCATGCCAAATGGGATGACAGGTTCTTAATCTGTTCTGTGGATTTGACTTGTAGCTTGGCTTTCAGGCTTTAAACTATCTTTGGTTTGGAGGTGAGGTTTCACCAGGGACCTGCCCCTGTCTGCCTAGATATTTTTCTGCCTCCTGCCTCTTTCAATAGTGGCAATAGGAAACTAAACCTCCAGTGACCCGGAAGGAAACACAAAGCCCTTCTAGGCCCTAAGGTTTTGATCCTGAAAGACTCAGCAGGCACAGGGGGTGACAGGAAGCTCCCTTGCTTGAGCCAAGTTAGGAAACTGGAGCTACTGCCCTACTTGGAGCACAAGGGCCAGGCGTGCTGGGTGTACCTTCCACCCCCTTGGCCAGCTAGCAGTCCCTGGGTGCCCTTCTCAGCACAGAATCTCTCTGGGCTTGGGAACAGCCCCACCCCTCTCTCAAAGCCCAGGCTGCACCAAGCTGGTCTCTTCTGGGAGTCTGGACTAGACTTCCAAGGCTTTGGCAGCATTTGGTGGGCCTGGGCCTCAGGTCTGTCCTGCTCCTCGGGGTCCGAGGCTGGAGCTGGCTCACAGTGCCAGCATCTTCCCCTAGCCCAGCTGAGGGTTGTGGGTAACAACCACCGTGGGCACCAAGGAAGGAGAACTGTCCAGACCCCAGGCACAATTAGTCCCTGAAGAATATCTTAGTCTATAGTGCTATTACTTAGCTGTTTCCTTTATTTAATCCTTTACATATATAATCATATATTAGTTTATAGAATTAGTGCCTGAAGTATAACTTACTGCTTACATATATCTATCTTATGTAATCATACTAATATATCTAGCATACTTAGTTCTATATAATTTTCTATATAATCATATAGGTATTGTAGCCGGAGCTGTACTGACACATTTAGTGCTGATTTATAGAACCCTTCCATATAACCATAGAGTAGTTTGTAGTAGGAGGAATGCCTAGAGCAGTCACAGAACAGAAGCAGTACATGGGAAAACGGCCAGACCAGGACGAGAACCAAAGACCCAGGCGGTGGCGTCCCTGCCTGAAAGGGCATACGCTGTATGGCAGGCTTGGAGCAAGTACCTCTCCTCCTGATAAAGGAGTTGTAGTACCTTGCATTCAGTTCCTGTGGAAAATAGGCCTCGGGCCTGAGATCCTGGAAATAACCGAGGGAGAAGAACCACTCTGGTGTGACCAGTCATTGCGGCTGTACACCCTGTCAGTCTTTTCTCGCTTCTGTGCTAGCTCAAAGAATCCTCCCATAAATATCTTAAGAGAAGAGCACAAATCTGTCAGCTCCCACTGCATTGGCTTACAGTATCCTTCTATTAGAAATCCTTTGAAGTCTCCAGCCCCCAGATAAGAAGTGTTGTTCATGACACCTGCTGCACACAGCCCACCTCCTTGCCTCGGTGACCTAATGGGGGTGGACCCCTTTTCTGTATACGACCCTCTACTACTGCGCATGGCATGGTCCCCTACTGCACACGGCCCACCTCTCTGCCCAAGTGACGTAATGGGGTGGCCCCCTCACTTGTAACTCACGTGATTATGTGTGCCCTATTACTAAGCCTATAGATGATGACCTCACTCACGACCCTGACCCCTGCTTGTACCTAATAAATACACATGCTCTGGGGCATTGGCCCTCGCTGATCTCCGCTCACAGGTTGCGTGGCCCCCCAAGTCCAGATGCTCTTCGCCAGTTCTTCAGTGTTCTGTCTCTTTTTTTTTTTTTTTGAGACGGAGTTTTCGCTCTTGTTACCCAGGCTGGAGTGCAATGGCGCGATCTCGGCTCACCGCAACCTCCGCCTCCTGGGTTCAGGCAATTCTCCTGCCTCAGCCTCCTGAGCAGCTGGGATTACAGGCACGCGCCACCATGCCCAGCCAATTTTTTGTAGCTTTAGTAGAGACGGGGTTTCACCGTGTTGACCAGGATGGTCTCGATCTCTTGACCTCGTGATCCACCCGCCTCGGCCTCCCAAAGTGCTGGGATTACAGGCGTGAGCCACCGCGCCCGGCCTGTCTCTTTACTTCTCAGATCCTGCACCTCAGCACAGCATAAGAGACACCCCATGACCCTGTGGGGCCCTACAGCCCTACAGAGGGTGAACATGGTGGTATGTGTGTCCATGGGGTTTCCTCAGAACCCCACCCACTCTGGCCTCTGGCCTAGCACGGGGAGAAGGGGCTGGGGAGGGAGTGTCTGTGTGTGATGCAGACCTGGAGAGGTTGGCTCTGTGGCCCGTGGGGGACCAGGGGGCTTGTCAGGCCTGACACAGGGCAGCCAAGTGATGAATGCAGGTCTGGAGCCCTCTACATCCTGGGAAACTGGACTCCTGGTGACACAGCCCCTCCTCACTTCCACCTGCCCCTGCCCCTGGCTTCAGAATGTATCCCCAAGGTGGTCTGGATGTCATCAGGCGGGGAGGTGTGGGGTAAGGGGTAGCGCTCTGAAACGGGGTTAGCATGGACATGGTCCTTCACCCACGGGGCCCACAGGGGACCACCCCTGCCGAGCCGACCCTCTGCCTGGAATGGCCTCCAGCTGCGCGTGCCCCTGCCGCACTCTGATGTGGAGTGGCCCACCGTGTCTGCGTTGGACGGGGCACCCTCCTAGGCAGGGGAACTGCAACTGCTCTGGGGCTGGGCCCATGTCACAGCGGGAGGGAGTGTGGTGTTACACTGCCTGGGAAGAACCCAGGGCTGTCAGCCACAAAGCTGCTAGTGATGACTGGGGGCTTATGTCTTCACTCTGCAGCCCTAACACCCAGGCTGGGTTCACTGGGCTCCATCCTGGGCGTGCAGACCCTGGGAGTGATGGCAGTGGGAGCTCCCTGCCCCTCCCCTTCATTGAAGATCCAGGGGTCAGAGTATAGACTCAGAGGCCTGGGGCACATGTTTATTTAGCAGACAAGGCGGGGCTTCATGATCAGGGTGGCCTGGGGATCAGCTGGGTGAGCAGCGCTGTGGGGAGGGTCTCCCAGCTCCCTTGATGGTGTCCGCGCTGGTGGGGCAGCTGGTGGCACCCTGGACAGAGGTGGATATGAGGGTGATGGGCGGAGAGATGGGAGGCACCCGAGACAGAGACAGCAGAATAAAGATGGCAGCAGTGCTCGGGGGCAGAGGGAGGAGCAAAGGCAGGCCCAAGACCCCAGCCCACTGCACCCTGGCCTCCCATAAGCCCCTCCCAGCCGCCCAGCCACACTCACTGCGCACTCAGCCGTCAATGCACTGGTCTGTTGGGGAGAAAGTCCATCAGAACAGGTAGCTGTGTGTGTGCCTGTGTGTGAGCATGTGTGTGCCCGTGTGTGTGTCCGTGTGTGAGCATGTGTGTGCATGCGTGTGCCCTTGTGTGATTGTATGTGATCCCTGACTGCCAGGTCTTCTGCACTGCCCCTGGACAGCCCACGCCCCACCCGGCCCAGCTGCAGAAGGTGTGAGGGTTCCTTTCAGGGATGGGGCGACAGAGGGGTGGATGGTGGGGCAGGGGATGTGGGAGAAAGGCTGGAGGGTGGGCTGTCTTGAGTGAGGTCTGGCTCCCAGGCTGCTCTGGCACCGGGGTCTCCTGCCTGTTTACCAGTCTAGGCAGCCCCTCAGCCTGGGGGAGGCCAGTGGTTCTCTGAATGGCCTAGCTGGGGCCTCCTGCCCAACCAGGCTCCCTGGAGTCAAGGACATCTCCCAAGTCAGTGGTGAGCAAGTGCCCAGGGGAGGGAAGACAGGCAGGACAGCAAGACCCAGGGTGATGAAGCCTGGGAGAGTAGGGGGAGACGGCTCACCACGAGGGGGCCTGGAAGGATTGGGGGAGGTGTCAGGCCAGCGAGACTGAGAAATGGAAACTTGGGCCTGGGCCTGAAATCCTGGCCTGGGCAGACCCTGGCTAAACTGCCAGGAAGGAGCACTTGGGGCCTGGGTGGGTCCCTGGGAGCCCCATAGACCCTGGGGAGGGAGCACAGTCTTCCTGAGCCCAAAGTGGCTTCCAAGGAGCTCCTGGACTGTCCACCACTCCAGTAACTGAAGCTGGGGATGGAGTCTCTCCTCTCCTCCCTCCCTGGTAGGGAAGCAGCCCGCCTGAACAGTCCCCATGTCCCCATCCCCACATCCAGACTGGCCATTACCGATTGGCACAGGGAAGACGATGTGGTTTTCAGTGAGGCCCAGAGATTTGGAGAAGCGGGTGAAGTTCTCCTTTAGGTCCGAAGTCAGCTTCTTGGTTCTCCCTGTAACCAAGATGGCCGGTGAGTGGTGGGTAGACACCCCATAAATATCATTGAATGAGTGGATGAGGCCTCAGATCCCTTCCTCATGGAGGGTCTGTGGAATGACCTTCCTGCAGGTGGGGACCGGCCTCCCCTCCCGCTAAGTGTGATCAGGAGCCAGTCCCCAAGGGGGTGGGAGGGGACCCACCATAGAGGGTGACCTTGAAGTACTCCCTGTTGTGCGAAACCTTCCTGAAGAACACCATGGCATACTGTTCATAGTCAGTGCTCACCACTCGCACGATGTAACTGGTTAATCCAGGGTGACCTGCAGGTGTGGATGGTGAGGGGTCAGCCCTGTTCTGGATGGGAGGAGGGAGCTGTCCCCTCCCCCCGCAGCCCATCAGCACAGACTTCTCCCCATACAACGCATCTGTGTGGAAGAGCAGGAAGCTCTGTGCCCCTCCCCAGCCCCCTGGAGCCCCGGCACAGCGCCCCGCCTCCCTCAGGACTCACTCTCAATGTTGCCCAGCTTGAACTCGCCGGGCTGGGAGCTTGGAACAAAAGTTCTGATCCAATAGTCACACTTCCCTTTCCTTGGGAGGGAGAGATGGGTGGGTGAGAGGTGAGATGACCAGGCTTGGGCCCCCTGGGCTGGACAAGGCGGGGGCCAGGGCAGCAGCAGGATTCTGATGCTCTCAGTCCAGCCCAACCCCTAACTCTGACAGCTCATCCCCCACTACCTGGAGGGACCCTGAAGGGGCCCTACTCCACCCACCCAGCTGAGATGGGCTTGGGCCTTCCCCCTGAGCTGACCCCAGGATGTCCCTCCTGGTCTGTTGCCTGGGGCCCCTGGACCCTGCTCAGGCTCTCCAGCGCCCCATGTCCTTCTTTCCTTTGGCTGCCTCCCCTGGGTGGGCTTCTCCCGACACCCCCCCACACACACATTTCTCCCCTGCGCTCAGCTTGCTGCTTCCCTTCCTCTACCCTGTCCCGGGATCCACCTTGCTGCTTCCAGTCTGCTCCATGCCAATCGTTCCCCTAGCTCTCGGGTCAAACCTGACCTCATCCTTGAGTCCTCCCACTTCCCATTCCCTGACACCGGGGCTGAGCTCCCCAAACTGTCTTTCTTCTGCTCCTCGCTCCACAAATGCCCAATCCCAATCCATTCAGCTGCCAGAGTCAGAAACCCACTGGGGGTGGCTGGTCCCCAGCTCCCTGCCCCTCCACCCTGCACTTGTTCTCTCCCACCTGTGACGGCCCCGTGTCACTTTTGCTGGTCTCCCACCCTCCCAGGCTGCACCCCAACATGTCTCCCCACTCTGCAGCCCAGGGGCCCCGCTCTAACCCACTCTGAATAGCTCCGGGGCAGGTGCCTGAGGACCGTGCTAGCCTGGCCCCCTACCCCGCCAGGCTGCTCAGCAGCTCTGCTCAGGACGACCTGGCGATGGCTTGCTGCTTCCTGAAGGGGGCTCTCTCTGGCTCAGCCCCTGCTGTGAACACCTGACACTTCCTTCTGAAGCACCTTCTGAAGCAGGTTGGCTCTTTTTTATTATTATTACTATTTTTAGTTTTTGAGACAGAGCCTTGCTCTGTCATCCAGGCTGGAGTGCAGTGGTGCGATCTCAGCTCACTGCAACCTCCACCTCCTGGGTTCAAGCGATTCTCCTGCCTCAGTCTCCAGAGTAGCTGGGACTACAGGTATGCACCACCACGTCCAGCTAATTTTTTTGGTATTTTTTGAATTTTTGTATTTTAGAGACAGAGTTTCACCATGTTAGCCAGGATGGTCTCCATCTCCCGACCTTGTGATCCGCCCACCTTGGCTTCCCAAAGTGCTGGGATTACAGGTTGGCTCTTTTAAGGCTACCTTCCTGGAAGCCCTCCACGAAGGCCCTGGGTGGGGTTGCAGGCTGGATCCAGTGTCCCTTCCTCCTGCTCCTGGGCACCCCTCCTCTCTCCATCTTGTTTTCTAATGACTGTGTGTGTCCACCCCCACCACCGTCTGTGTGTGCACAGAAATGCCCTATAAATATTGCCCTACGGAATGGAGGAAGGATGAACCCAGATGAATTCCATGCAGAACAGTAGGATGAATGACAGCTTCCCTCAGTTTTGGCCACCCCTTGCCTGTGACATCAGTCTGACTCTCACATCCCCAGGAGGTGTTGGCCCTCACCTGAACAGGACGGAGGTGACGTTGTAGCTCTTGTCCTCTTTCAGCTCATAGATGGTGGCATACATCTTCGGTGAGTCTTGGCCTTCTCTGCCAATTGCATTCCCTGACAGGCCTACCACATACCACTTCCCCTGGAACTGCAGGGGACTGATGATAGGCACAGCCCAGGAATGGCCCTAGGAGCCACCCCTCCAGTTCTGTCCCTGTGGCACCTCTTGGCAGCCCAGCCTGGAACCAGGAGCCCCTCTGGCTGGGCAGCAGGGCCCAGACTGGGCCTGCACTGGTGAAGGGGCAGGAGCAGGAGGCCATAAGTCTAGAAGGGAGGCTGAGGGAAGAGGTGGTTCTGAGGCTGGCAGGGAGGAGGCAAGTTGCTGGTGAGCCTTTCTGAGCCTCAGTTTCCCATTCCATTCAGGGGAACTAAAGATGTTCCCACCTTCCTTGGACAGTGGGGGTTTTGGGAGAGGGGAAGTGGACCTGGGAAAGTCTGTTCAGGCTGAGATGAGGTGGGAATGGGGGAAGGGGCAAGGTTTCCATCAGGGGACCCTGGAGACACGGGGTGAGCTGAAGCCTGGACCTTGGACTCCCAGAGTCCTGCACAGTGCCCCTCCTGAGTCTCTCCACCTCTCCTCCCCTCTGTTCCCACTCTTCCCCGGGCCCTGCCTGCAGGTGCCCCTCTTGACTCCGTACCTCATTATCCTGGAAGTTCTGCTGCAGAGGGACCTTGCTCAGAGGTGGGGCTGGGATCAGGGGTGAGGGGGAGTCCTGGGCCTGGGCTTGCAGAGCCCCCAGCAGGCCGAGGCTCAGCCACAGGAGATGCAGGGGCATGATTTCAGGGCCGAGGAGGCAGGCACTGTGGTGGCTGCTGGGCCTGGCAGGGGTGGAGGAGGAGGTAGTGAGTGAGAAGCTCCCCTGGGTGGCCCTATTTATGGGCTCTAGGGTGGGCTGATTCATTCTTTGCCAAGACCAGGAAGGTGAAGCAACTGCCAGGAACTCCTGCGGAAACACTTGGCAAGATTTCTGCCTCAGGTCAGGATTTCGCAAGACAGAGGGACGGGGGACATTCCCGGAGTGCGGCACCTCTGGCAGGGACAAGGGCTCCCTCTGTGCAGTCTTTGTGCCCTTCCTGTCCTTTGATTGTCCTGTGTGTGGGCCAGTGGCCGGTGAGCTGGAAGAGGTGTCATCTCTGACCCCCCTGCTCTGCTGGAGCCCAGGGTTGGGTACGTGCCCTGTGGGCCCCTCCCTGTGCCCACTGACAGGGAAGAATGAATGAATGCCTCCTTCCAATAGATCATGTGCTGTTTCCTGGTTCCTTTAAGGGCCAGAGAAGGGTGGGGTGGCTGACAGTGGACAAAGTCTACTCTGAGCTCATGGAGCCCAGAATCTTGACCTTCCTGGGAGCCCCATGCTGGGATCTGGGTGTGCTCCAGAGGCCTTGAGGCAGCTCCTTGTCCCTCTCCTTTCCCTATTTGCAGGAGGGGACCCCTGAGGGACGCGGCCTTTCCTGTGAGTACGGAGGGAAGAGACCCCATGGATTGAGCGCTGAGGCTACAGTCCCTGCCCTGGGTGAGTCGGGCTGATGGGTGGGGTGTGAAAGCACCACACTGCTGCTCTGCAGACCCATTGCTTTGGGTCACTGAGAGTGCAAGGATCTGGCCTTATCCTTGAGGTCACTGAGACCACGCCCCTGACTCTGGCCACAGCCTTGGTCCATTGAGCCCAGCAGCCCAGGCCAGGGGTTCCAGAACTGTCACCAGGATGGCTGGTCCAGCAGGGAAGCAGTTCTCTTAACAGGGGCCTGGCTGGCATCCTTGGGAGGCAGTGATGGAGCGTAGGCTGTGCCAGTGTCCGCAGAGATGGCTCAGCTCACCCTTGAGGGCCAAGGTCGTCCTGGATGCCTGACCGAGGGTGTGCTGGTTTTAGAGCTTTCGATGGGACCAATGGGGACCTCACTGGCCCTGCCTACCTGCTTCTCAGGATCCCCAACCTGGGCTTGGGGACAGTGGCACCCTCTGGGAAGGGGCTCTGGGAGTCCTGAGCTGGGGTTAGTCTGGAGAGGCCCCCGCTGGATCCCCGCCGCCTCAGGCCCTGTCCTGCCTACTGTCCGTGTGATGAAAGGGCAGGAAGCAAAGATGAGCAAAACTGCAGGGGAACGGCGTTGCACGGAAGACTTCCCCATCTAGAGCAGCCCGTGGCCACTCCCTCCCTCCAAACCCCACCTTCTTTCATGACCCTGTTCCCAGGAACTCCACCTCTGCTACTCTCTCTGACCTTAAAAAGTATCCTCGACCAGCCTGGGCACGGCGGCTCACACCTGCAATCCCAGCACTTTGGTTGGCTGAGGTGGGTGAATCATGAAGTCAGGAGTTCGAGACTAGCCTGGTCAACATCATGGAACCCCGTCTCTACTAAAAATACAAAAATTAGCTGGGCATGGCGGCAAGCACCTGTAATCTCAGCTACTTGGGAAGGTGAGGCAGGAGAATCGCTTGAAGCTGAGAGGTGGGAATTGCAGTGAGCCAAGATTGTACCATTGCACTCCAGCCTGGGTGACAAAGTCTTTGTCTCGGAAAAAAAAAAAGTATCCTCAGGGACCGGCCTGGCCAAGATGGTAAAACCCTATCGGTACTGAAAATATAAAAATTACCCAGGTGTGGTAGTGCATGCCTGTTATCCCAACTACTTGAGGGCTGAGGCAGGCAAATTGCTTGAACCCAGGAGGTGGAGGCTGCAGTGAGCCAAGATCCTGCCACTGCACTCCAGCCTAGGTGACAGAATGAGACCCTGTCTCAATAAAACAAAGCCCCCAAGCAACAACAACACAAACTCACAAATCCTCGGGGAGGCTGAGGTGGGAGGGTCACTTGGGCCCAGGAGGCCGAGGCTGAGCTATGATTATGCACGCCAGCCTGGACGACACAGCGACTTGACGCTAAAAAGTACCCTCTAGTCTGCAATGACTGCTTCATGTAGGGGAGACCAGTGGGTGGAGCCCCAGAGAATGTTAAGTTGAGGGTGGGGCAGTGCCATGGATCTCTGGGGAGCCGGGACTCAAGGGTCTGAACGTTGGGGGTGAGCAGGGCACTGGGTCTGCAGCAGGAAAACAGCAGAGCCAGGTGCAGAAGGGAGATGGCCCTGCTTGGGGGTCCCCCAGGCCGGGTTGAAGCCTGGCTCCTCCAGGTGCACGGATCTCTGCCCAGCTCCCACCCCCATGGAGAGAGCTGTTCTGCGCTTCCGTGAGGTCGTGCACGGACTGTGTCGGGCCCAAGGTGTCCCTATACGAGGCTGAGTTTCTCATCAAACCCATGCGGGGCCCATTCCTCTCTCTGCACCGGCTCCAGTCCTGTCTCCTACCCACTGGCCTTGTCTCTCTTCAGAGTCCAGCAGGGCTGCAGGGAGGAGGTCAGCTCTACACACACACCCGCTACATAAGCTTCAGGACTCAGCAATAGGAAGGTTGGGTAAGGACCGTGGTGTAGACCTCCCATTCAGACTTGACCGACTCCAAGGGCTCCAGGGTTGACAGGACACTGGGGCTCCATTCCTTACCCACCCCCTTCCCACTGGACTCCATTCATTGGGCCTGGGCCCCTGGCCAAGGAGGGTAATCCAGGTTTCATGCTGCTCAGCACTTGGGGGAGTCCGTGGGCGCCAGGGCTGTTGGAACGGTCTCCACGACACGAGTGGCACCATGCGCAGGCATGCCACACACCTACCCGCCTCCTCTTGACCCCTCTTTTTTTTTATTTGAGACGGAGTCTCACTCTGTTGCCCATGCTGGAGTGCAGTGACGAGATCTCGGCTCACTGCAACCTCCATCTCCCAGGTTCAAGCAATTCTCCTGCCTCAGCCTCCGAGTAGCTGGAATTACAGGCGCGCGCCACCATGTCCTGCTAATTTTTTGTATTTTCAGTAGAGATGGGGTTTCACTGTGTTAGCCAAGATGGTCTCAATCTCCTGACCTCGTGATCTGCCTGCCTCAGCCTCCCAAAGTGCTGGGATTAAGGTGTGAGCCACTGTGCCCAGCCCCCTTGGCCCCTCTTATGGTTTCCACTGTGGCCCCTGGGCTGGTCCTGTTTTCTCTCAGTCAGCTGCAGGTGCGCCTAGTGAGCCCTCAAAGAGCCACACAGAAGCTCTGGGCCCAAGCCCCTCCTGAGAGGAACGGGGCTGGGCTCCCAAGTCCTGCTGTGCAGGTCAGCTTAGCAACAACAAGAGCCTAAAGGCAGATCCCTGCCTGGGATTTCTGTGACCAGAGGCCAGAAGTACTCCGGCTGTGCCCTCCGCTGTCTCTGGGAGGCTCGCCCCATTCCCTGGAGACTGCAGCAGCCTGTCCTCCCATGGAGAGGCCCAGGCCCCTCCACACTGATCTCATCCACGCATGAAGGCGACGAGAGGAGACGCTTCCTGGCGGTGCTTGCATCTCAGGAGTCCAGTCTGACCCCCCATTTTGGTTTCCAGATCTTGTGAGCAGCGTTCAGCAGCGTCCAGATCCAGGCCCAGGGCCCTTGCTGGTTCTGTCCGTAGGGGCCTGGCCCAGGCACGCCCCTTACATGGGTGCTCTGCCTATTATTCCTCAGCCTGGACTCCCATGTGGGCGAGAGGGCCCACAATGATCGCAGGGGCAGGCAGTGGCAGGCAGTGGCAGGCAGTGATGGACGCCAGGCTCCCGTGGAGCTGGTCACAGTCCCTCTGCCATAGGCCTCTGTCCCACATGGCCCTGGTGCTGCTCAAGACCAATGCTCCTCCCAGCCCTGCACCCCTCCTGCCTGGACTGCAGCCCCCAGCACCCCAGGAAAGGGGCATCTCCACCGTGGCCACCCCCACACTACCCCACGTGCTCCCTGCTTTCCAGGTCCCTGTCGGGGCCTCCACTGGCACCATGAGAGGGCGCTGGGTGAGAGGACCGGTCTGGCTCTCCTGAAAGCTGGTTCTTCCAAGAAGCCAGGACAGGCCAGGAGCGTGTCCAGCCCAGTTGGCAGGGTAGTAGGTTCCAGAAGAGTCAAATGAGACCCAATGTCCATGAAGACATCCCTGGCTTAAGAACCACAACACACAGGCTCCTGCCTGGGGTCCCTCTGGTGCCCCAGCGGGGCTGAGGATGGAGCAGGCTTGGTCTCTCATGCACTCTGCTCCATCCCAGTGGTGGAGGGAGATCGCAGTCCCGGCTCCCACTCCTCCTTGGCAGCACGTCTTTATGTATTTCAGCTAAGTGGGTAGGTTCCATGGCTGAGCCTCCCCCTCTGTGGGAGGGGGACATGAACAAGGCTGTGACAGGGAGCGAGGACCAGGTCCAGCTCCAAAGGAAGAGCATGTCCACCTTCAAAAGGAGGGGCCGACTTGGACCAGTGCAGAGTGGGGTGAGGGGCAGGGAGGGCAGTGCCAGCAGCAGAGCAGCAGGAGATGCCAGGAACACCCAGAGACCTTGGCCTTCACCTGGCCACTGTCCTTCAGCAGCCTGATTCTCAGAGTTCTGAGGGGACATATAAGTTTCTGGGTACAAGGGTTGGGGGCCCAGACCTTGGGCTGAAGGGAGGACCACTCCCTGTTCTTCCTCTTCCGTGACTCTCAGAATCACCTGTCAGGAGGGGGATCCCTCTGTGCTGGTATGACGGGCAGGCCCGAGGCTGCAGGGCACAGGTCTGAGTGCCTCTCCCTGGACACCTCAGGCCTTGGGTGGGCACTGGCCTCTCCCAGGTCGCTGCAGTCCCAAGTGCCCCTCCCTGGGTGCTCAGCCTGGGTCTGTTCCAACTAAAGTTTCTCATGGTTCTCCAGGTTCTGCCTACAATCTGAGGTCCCCCTGTCCTGGGTCACCTCCTCCTGACACTCTAGGGTCCCCTGTCCCTAGCTACCTCCCCCTTGATTCAGGCCCCTTCCTTCCCATACCCCTGGGGCCCCTGGTATGGCCACCTTTTCCCAC